TTAGCTAAATGAAATATCTTTTCTGCAGACTCTCTTGCTAAGATGTACACAGGAAGAGATCTGTTGTCTTGAAAGCACCAGCTTTTTGCAGAAACACCACATTTCTGTAGGAGCACCGAGATTTAATTTGGCAGAATACTTTGGAATTAGCAAGAAGACAATACTAAATACTGTACTACAATCCCTGTGTGTCGAGCAACAAAACCCAGGCTGTTTGAAAGTACATCATGATTGGAGCCAATTAAATTAATTAAAATAGCAAGTGCCAAGCATATCTGTAAGATAAAAACAATGAGTTTCCAAAATAAAATGCAGAATTTGTCAGCTGCCTTGTCTGCAAAGTATTGTTCTTTTTAATGTTAATCTCTCTATAAATTGTGTTGCATTTGAACTCTCATAAAACCATCCAGGGGCTCCAGATGATAGGGAATGGAATCTATTCTCCCTCTTTCAGCCTTCAGAAATCCAGAATTAAAGATTTACTCATTGAATATTGCCTTCTTCCCTTTCCCCCTAATCATACATACCAAAAGGTGAGACATTTTCCTCCCTCCTTTTTATGGTTAAATCTCCTAAATGGGCAAGAGGGGGGAGGGGAATAAACCTTGTTGACTTGTGAAGCAGCGAGATGTCACCCACACTAAAAGTGTTGGAACAAGATATCACAGGATGAAGTCATGCATAGAAATGTATGGGCTGAACTGCAGCTAAAGCTTTTGAGGACTAAACCAGTTTAGACTTCTTCAAGTCTCCCTGCTTGAGTGAGTGAGTGTGTGTGTGTGTGTGTGCGTGTGTGTGCTTGTGCGTGTGAACGTTTCTATTATTCCTTCAGGAAATGATCCGTGCCTCAAGAGAAAAGGGCATTTCAGAAACCCGGGTCTTCAAAATATTCTAATCCATTTCTTCATTGCATAAATACTATTCATAAACATGTTGGCATGCTTTCTCCAGATTTTGCACGAGTGTACTGGCATTTTCTGTACTGTTCTTTCACAATCCTTCTGTAATTTAGCGCGGTTTAATGATTTGGCAGCTGACAAGGACAGGGGCTAGCTTTCAAGATGCCCCCCCCCCCATCCACTCCCAAACAGAAGAAGGCACAAATAAATTTGCAGAGATTGCTAATCCTTCAATTGCTTTCTTTCCCTCTTCCAAGCCCAGGGCTGGCAGCGGCTTGTTCTCTCTCTCTCTCTCTCTCTCTCTGGCTGCCTGAGCAAGCCAAAAAGCATCACTAGCCAAGAGGAGGGAGGCTGGAAGGGATGTGCAGGGGAGGTGCAAGGGAGGCAACGTCATCCTGAAGGCAGGACTGCAGCATCTCCGGACCCGCCTCTTAGCATGTGAGACGGCAGCCAACCACAGCCCGCGTCCAACCCAAGATGGCCTTTGAACTCTCCACCAACTTCCTGCTGGGTTTTTTTTTCCCACCCCCCTTTAAAAAAAAGAGTACACAGTGCAATGCAGTATGTGTCTGTCAGCCGCTGCGGCACAAAGGAACAGCCATTTTGTGACAATCCAGCCCTGCAGTGAAAATGCCTAAATGCTTTCTTCTTTTCGTTCCCCTCCATTCTCATTCTCCACTGCCCGAGAGAAACAGCTGGCATCAGGTAGAACGTCAGCAATCCTCAAGTCCCCAAACCTCACCCTCTCCTCCCTCTGTTTGCCTTGGGCTTTGCCTCCCACTTTAAATAATCCTCCTTTGTGCAGAGCGTTGCTTCATAAAATGGCTGCCACTGGCTGAGGATTTAGTGGGAGCCAAAGCTGCGTGAAGGTGAAGGTGGCAGAGGAAAGTGCTTGCAGGAGACTACCCCCAGGACTTCAACTGGGAGATGAACATGCATTTAGCAACCAGGGTTCGACCCTGCATTGTCTCAAGGCATTGGAGAAGCAGAAAAAAACAGAAGACCTTATCCTTCATATAACCCAAAGGGAAGAGTCCTTATCATGGTATGCTTGGTCCAGTCCAAGGCATCTGACCCAACACTGGTTATTATGGTATAAGCCAGGCCAGTCATGCTAACTACAACCCCATACCGAATTCAGACTTAGAGCTGAAAACAAATATTTTGGGGAGAGAATGAGAATGTAGTCTGGGGTGAATGCTTGGATACAATTTCTAGCACAAACTTTTACAGAAATATGGAGAGGCCAGTACTTTCAATATCTGAGGTTTATTTATTTCTAGCAGAAGCTCCTTATTTACTTTGCAATGACAATAAATATGGGCATTCTTGTCCTTACTTTTCAGAGCAGGTGAAAAATCTTCATTTTAAAAGGAACTTTGATTAACGCACCAAGACGCAGCACGCTTACAAGCTCAGCCCATGGTGGTGCGCCCCTTGCACAGGCTGGATAAATAATTTGAAATTTTAATTCAGGCTTGCCTTTCTGCTCTTCCAATGTTACCATGTTTCGATTGTGCATTTTACACTGTGAATCCCTTCAGAAAAAGCACTGCTAGAAAGTGATGTAGAAATGCAATCCATTAATGGTACGAATGTGTTTTTTGTGGTTCTAATGAAGCATCCTAAAAACAGTTCCTTTTGAGTGGAGGCTGTGCATCCATTTTTTTTAGGACTTGGTACATTCCATCTTGAATATGAATTCTGTTTTAGAAGAAAAGTAATGGCACTTAAAAAAAAAATTCTTGGTGAACTATCTCAGATGTTTCGCTTGCAACACCTAAAATACCTTTCTGCCATATTTAAACTTTAGTGAAAAGGCTGGTCATGCTCAGTTAGTTAAAACAATCTTCCAGGATTAGAAAAACAGTTAATTTTGACCATTTGTAACATACCAGGTTGTAGATAAGAGGTGTCAAGCGCACGATGACACATTGCCATCACGTGATGTATCACAACTTTTTTCCTTTTCGCTAAACTGGGCGTGGGCGTGGCCAGCGCGTGACACATCTGGCCCGCGGGCCACAAGTTTTGACACCCCTGTTGTAGATGAACATGGATGCAAAGCTCACCTCAGCAAGCTGTGAAATCAGGGAGGTTAATGGAACGCTTACTTCAATAAAGCACACCTGATCTAAATACTCCCAGGAAAAATGGATTCTTTGGATGTTTGTATTTATAAGGAAGTGGAAGGCACTTAGAATGGTATTTTTTGACAGTGAGTGTTAAAGAAAAGTTCTAAAATTTACATTTGTTACACCCATCTTTTAAGTGTATCTGGCCCCCACCCAACTTCACACCCATCTCAAACAAATGAGGTCACAAATGGATTGGGTGCTGCTCTGCCCAGAGTCTTACAGACAGGAAGTTTCAAATGCAATGTACACAGAACTTCCAGGCTGTCTTGCTAAAACAATTTCTGCACAAACATACCTTTAATTCTCCCCCACAAAAAAGTTCATTTTACACAGTATGTAGAGTAGTTGCAGTTCAGAAAATAAGTTTACAACAGAAACTTTCAAACAAGGGTGAGTTATGCTTTCACAGTTCATGTGAACTGTGTGCTGCTGATATAATGAGTGTCTTATTTTAATTCAGTTGGGTGTTAACATTTTCCTTGATGTAGTTCTCATTTATTACCAAGAAAGCAAAACTTCAAGTGTGGATGTTATGCAAATAATATACCCAAGAGAATAGAGGGGGGAGGGGAGGTAAAAGGGCTGGTTAAATTAAACTCTTTTCATTCAACTCAGTCCTGTTGCAATAGATAGCTGTTCTCATCAGTGTTGAATTTCTTCCTTCAATTTGTGTAAAAAAAAAAAGAATGAATTACGCTGTTTTAATGTGAATATTGGCATGCTAATTTCAAAAACAACTTTTTAACAACGTCAGCAATTTGACTTTTACCACTGTCTTTTGGAGTTGAGCTTCAAAGATTTGAAAAATGTGCAATAAAAAAAAACCAAATTCTTTTTGTCTTTTTCTGAGAATCAAAGTAGCTTCTCCAGCATCCAAAAATCATGGTTCAATCCATATAGATTTTAAAATTTAAGTGCCCTCTTCCATTGTACTTGTTACATCAAAGGCTTTCCTGGCAAAAGGCATTATTTCAAATGGTAATATATATAATGGATTGAGAAAAAGAGCTCATAAAGTATCATGTGCATTTTATAATTATAAAAACATTCAAAACCTGAAAAGGAATACCAATAACAAGCCAAGAAAAGATCAATAAACACATTGCAAAAATATTAGAATCCTCCTAAGGTAACTATTAGTTTCTATCAAAGTATGGTCAATATAATATAGAAACAAAAACAATAACAATAAATGTCCTTCTATTTCCCTTATAAATATCAGCATACATATATTCAGCATCAAAATATGCATTTAAAATAGACATGCACAGAACCTAAGATTCCAAGAAATTGTGACTTAAGATAACATCTTTTTGTAAAATAGAAGCAAACCCTATCAATGAGATAGCTTGGAAACACAGTAACAAAATATCCTAAAATGCTAAAATAGTATCAAAGTTCCTTATGCCCAACTGAATATACAAGCAAGGAGGATCAAGCAAACACACATATTCTTTTTTTTATTTTAAAATAAACATTTTTTCATTCATAAAACTTTCTCTAGTTTCTGCTTTACAAATACCATCAGGCTTCTGTCAGGCCTTCAACTTGAAGTTTAAACTCCACAAATTCTTCAAAGAAAAAAATCCCTTGTATATAAAAATGGTGCAATGCAGCAGTGGGAACAAGGTCATTTTTCACAGCACAAAAACCCACAAAAAGCAAAATTTAGCAGCTGAAACTGCATAATATACAGGGTTCCATCTGTGTAAAGGTGCTTTACTTTTTAAGTAGAGCTTGGGGCCTTTCAGTCACACCACAAGTTTCAGAAATTGTTATCAAAAAAAAAAAAAAAAAGACCAGGGTGTGGCATATCAGCAGTCTCAAGGTCATTTTATAAGAAAAGAATCAAAAGCCCTGAAATATATTTATTTCTATTATCAATGATGGTAAGTCAAAGCTGTCAAAAGGTTAACAGTTGCTCGGAATAATTTAAAAAAAAATAAAAGTTGAGAGATCATACCTCGATGCATGGCTGTGGACTGAACCCTCCTCTCCTTGGCTTTTGTCCGTATTCCTCAACATCTTTCAATTCTTAAAATATTAAGGGAAAGGTAGAAGGATGGCTGGATTTGGGCTGAAGTCCTGTGCCCAGGTATTTACTGTCAAAAGTTGAAAGAAAGGTAAGCTCCCACTTGGCTTTGAGGTTTCAACAGCAAGAACAAAAAGTCCCGACGCTGCGAAGCTTTCTTAGAACAATAATACAGAAGGGGGACATCAGCACGGTAAAAAAACAAATAAAAATATTTTATCTTTTTATTTAAAAAAACGCGAAGGAAACACAGCCCTGGGGAGCATCCTACAAAACTTTCCCGAAGTCACCCTGGAAGCAAGTATTCTCGGTATTTTATTGCGTCATTTCAGGATCGTTGAAAATCGGTCGAAAGGGAAAAAGGGGGAAAAAAACCCTAAGTATTGAAAAAGGGACAAAATCCCCCCCTTAAAAAGGATAATCATCGCCCACCTACCTGAGCCAGGCTCCAACGCCAGCCCGGACCCGGTTTCTAGTCGTGGGAAAACATTCGCTTCCGAACGTTCCAAACGCAACGCAGGAGGAAAAAAAATCCGCTTTCTTTTACAAAATAACACATCCGAAATTAATCCACACGATCCCGCAATTGTTTAATCGCCATCGGCGATCATTGAAAGCCGTAAAGGAATATTTTAAAAAAAGAGGGGAAAAAAGATCCGGAGGAAAAAGCTCATTAGGAGAGCGCACAAAAATGGAGGTACGCCATGGCTTCCAAGCTGGGAAAAACAACGACCTGGGCTGTTTCTTTCTAACCAGGCGAAGGGAGAGGGAAAAAGAGTCCCCCCAAAAGCTCCTTTTCTGCCCGAAAAACGCACGGTCCCCCTTGCACCGGCCTCCACAAGAGACCAGGGGCCGCAGGAGCCCCTTGAGGACGCCCAAAAGTTACACAAAGTTGCGCAAAAGTGGCGGAGGAGAGGGGGGGAAAGGCAGGAGGCTCAGCGCGCTCTCCAAGGCACAGCCGCCATCTAGAGCTTTCTTCCCAGCTCTGAGCTCTGCCTTTGATTGACACTCTCTACATTTACCCCACAACTCAGGTGATGTACCATAGACCCACCCCTTCATTTCCACCCAAAAAAAAAAGAAAAAAGAAGGGAGCCTCCATCTAATGGGAGCTGACTCCCCATCACTACTATCTCCAGCCAACTCCCCATCTGTGGAGGGGGCAACTTAACTCCATCTGGTTCATACACCCTTTCTAAGCCAAAAGAGAAATTATTGGTTGCTTTTGTTGGAAGAGGGCTGGCTTACATTTATGTCCTTGGATTAAAATGACTTCCTCCCTGGACAGGAAGTGGTGGCACAAAGGGCCATTTTGGAGGAAGGAAAATGGGACTTGGGGCTCCTAGATGAGCATTAGTAGGGTACATGGGTTGGCAAGCACCCCAATGGGTAATTTCAGTAGAAGTCATCTCTTTCAATGGTTCTACTTGGTTATGGCAATCTGTTGGTTCTAAGCCATTAATTGTAGGAGAATTCCAAATAGAAACAAGAGTTTTGTGTATCAATGCCCCTCAAAACTCAATGGCGCCTCCCTAGTGGTTCTATCTGGAAGGGGCAAAATCAGATCCATTGTGTTTAAGTCTTCTAGCACCAAGTTGTTAAAGAAACCCATGTCAACTGGTCTACATAAAGACCATACACTGATCTTGGGATGTAGCTGAATTATAACGATTTTTCTGCACAAGCGGAACCACAGCGCCAAATATCGATATTAGCAAAATCGCTTGCAACTCATGAACACAGATAAAACAAGCATTCTGTCTTAACCATTTCCATACTTGAAGTGTTAGAGTTTTATCATGACCCCTAATATCTAGACAAAGGTCTTGATCTAGAGCCAGAGACAATCAAAATGAATCACAAATTCTACTACTTATAGTTAGCCATCATTTGTCATTTCTCCATATTTTGGTCCAAAAAAAGTTCCAAATCATTCTAAGTGAACAATCTGATAACAATCTGATAAGACAGTTGCCCAATTACAGAGATTTGGAAAGTGGTCAATTAATACCATTATTCACACCAGTTTTTAAAACAAAATTAGATATACAAGAAATTCCATTAGCCTAGAATTAAGCCACCAATGAAGCAACAGACACATCTAAATATGGCATAAATGGCCAACTACCCACATTTCTTCAAAAGCATGATTACTCCTGTCAATGAAGTCAACATCACACATTAATTTTGCATTTTAGATACATTTCCATCAATATTTTTTGTACATCAGTATGTCACTAAAATGAATCTTGTATGCACCAATTGGAATGGAAAGTTTAAAAGATTTTAGTAAATGTAGTAAAAATGGCAGGATTAATTTTTATGGCGAACAAGATAACTGAATTAAAGAGTTTGGCTAAGTTCTTTATTCAACTCTTAGTGAACTGGAACATCAATGTAGCAACACTACGAATGCTTTGGACACTTGTATCAGCAGTAAACCAAGTAGCATTGTTATGTATGATCAAACCCACATACAACAATGAGGAAATCTAAGTATACAAGTATTCAGAAAAGCAGGTGTCAGTTTTTAGGTACATGAATATTAAACCAGCCTTAGAAAGGTCCACACCACAGTGCCCATCCATAGATCCACAGAAAACACATCATTAGATTTGTACCATTCTAAGAATTGCACCAATTCACAGATGTGAATTATGCCCATCTTCATTTAACCAATATTAAGAGAACATGTAACTCTATGACATTTACAAGAATAATAACAACCATAATACAGAACATAAACTCTCTTTAAGTTTATAATCTTACTGAAAAGGCAAACTAAGGAATCATTTAAAGTTTTGAAATAGTTGGTGAAAGTATTGAGCTCATTCAATAATCAAAGAGTTCTCATTGATACCAACAACAAATCATATAAGAATGTTTCAGCCCAAAAGATGACAAACAAGAATAAATATGGAAAAAATACTTTTATTTAAATAGCAATTCACTTGTGCCAATTATATATGGGACAGACATTTTTATACATTCCTGTTTGCAAAATTTGATCAGCCCCTTCAAGCCCTTCATCCCCAACTGAATGCTAATCCCAAGAGTCTGGAAACAGATTTAAAAAAAATAAAAACAGAATATAAGATTACAATTAGCTCAAATCTTCTGTAGGTTAGACAATCGTAGTCCATGTTAAAGAATCCCTTTCTTGGAAGGGCATACTCAGCAATCATGCAATCTGAAACTCTCAGCAGTGGAACTGCCATCTTGATTTGGAAATCGTTGTCTCCCTTTGAGTTTCTTCCTTTCTCTGGACTCTTTATAAAAAAAATTAAAAGAAAATGCTGTTGGAATGCAGGTAATTTTATCCTTAAATTTAAAATAATCAACATTTTCAACTGTCATATCTGAGCATATTTAAAAATATTTTCAACACATTGTAAAAAGCTAAATCATTATCAAGATTAATACTATTGAATGAATAGTAATATTTTAACAATATTAATGTCAGCGCATTTCCCTGCTTTCTGTTGAAAGTAGAATCTAGCATAGAAAAACTCCAAAGCAAACAGGTATGACTTATGGAATTTCAATGGGCAACATAAAAGCAGTGTTAGAAAATATATTACTTTTGCAATCAATGTAGCACTGCTAGAGAAACCAATATATAGCTTTCCTGCTAAAGATTTAACAGGTGTCCAAACGAAAAGTCTAAGGAAAAGTACTAAACAAGTAATTTTATCAGGAAATAGAACTGGTTGTATGCAAAGTTATCTCAGCTTATTTCTAATACAAGATTCTTTTATTTTGGTTTATGTAAGCAAAACCAGAGAAAACTATTTAGACTTTTATAAAATTCCTAATAAAAAATTATCTTATTCTTTCAAAGTATGCCTTACATTATTTCAGGTTCAATTTTATATGGACAAATAGCTTGGCTTGTTTAATCAAAATGACATTGTAGCCTCATTATTTTCTTGTCTCTTCTTAACCAGAACTTAATTATCCCCATCTGATTTCACTCTAGGGCCAGGATCCAACAGATGAAGCAGCATCAAATATGCTTATTTGAAGGGAGGAGATTTTCTATGGAATACCTAACTACTACTGGAGAATTTCAGATCTGCCAAAATCAATGTCTAAGACATATTTCAAGTCAAAGTCAACATTTTCTTGAAACTGGGTTTCCAAAAAGCTTCAAAAATGAATAAATTTCTTTCTCACAAAGCACTAGCAAAACATATTGATCCCTAAAAACTATGAGGGATAACACTTTTAATACCTGGAAAAGTTATCGAATATTTTATTCATGATGCATTTCGAATGTAGCTATCAAATAAAAAATGGGAAGCTAGGGATGGAGAATCCAGTCATTGGTTCAAGAACATGTCATCCCTTGATTGGTTATATCAAGAACCTCCCATTTTCTTACCACTACCCACTATTACATTGTACTGTATATGCAGCAGCATAGCATAAACTCAAGCTACTATTTTACTGCCTCCAAGTATTTTAAAGGTATCTTGGACTTGTTGCATCTACCTTAATTATTCTCCTCAGCCCATGCTAATGTATAAATTATTTTCAATTGTTTCAAACAAAAAGAAATATTGACAACATGGATATGTTAAATTTAAAATTCACCCAAGTCAAAACAATTTAGTTTTTGCAGTGACTAGAAATCCAGCAGAATGTTTGATGGTAACAGAAAGCAGAGCAAAGGGGAAGAAGAAAAACCCATATCTAAAAAGGAAAGTTGAGAATGCTTGATGGCTTCTGTTATTATTCCAAAGATTATATAGCGCATGCCAATGATTTAATAAAGAGTCCAACCACAAAAATATTCAAGTTAAGCTGTTTTAAATATAATTATCAACAGAAATATATTCTATATTGGGGTACAATCCAATTGAAGCACCTGTACCACAAATGACACTGCACCCATTTTACTTCTATCAAAACACTACAATCCAGAGATACGTTAACAAACTGGACTCTCAAATGTATCAGAGATACATTAACAAACTGGATATCTCAGACATAAATAACTACAAAATTTTGAATAGTTGCCATTTTCCATTTTTAAGGTGAACTTAGCTAGCATTTTCCCATAACTCAGTTGTATTAATCCAAGAGGAAATGCCACAAGTGATCATTTTCTACAAAACCAATATAAATGTTTTTACTTTAGAAATCACAATGTTTCAACAGATTGTATAACAAGTAACAGAATAAGCGCATCAAAATACATCATACAAATTCATTTCTATTGAACTCCACAAGTTTTTGATTGTGTAAAATATTATTTCATAAATTATACTCTTAATGCTTAAATTTTATAATTCGCCAGGTGTGTTTATAATGCAATACTGAATTAATTCCACATGTTAATATAGCACTGTGTTAATATTTCAAGCTTTTGTTCAATAAATAGTACGATGGGTGATACTATGAGTAAAAGATCAAAATTAATCATTTTAATGGATGGGACCAAGTAGTCTAAGCTGTATTTAATATGTAATTTCCTAAAAATGAGATCAGCTAAATCCCAATTATTTGCTGCTTAGAAAATCTGACAATTTTAAGAATTTAAGAATTTTAATTAGCCCAAAGTAGTATTTTTAGAAAACAAACTAAGGCTCAAGTTTAACCCTTATTACCACTTTTGCAAAGTATTGAGATAAATACTCGTTTAGGTTTTCCAGTGGTTGGTGAAGAACTATGGATACCATAGGATGTCATTCAGTAAGGAACAGACTGAGAAGCAGGCAGTAAGCAAACAAGATTTTTCCAAAGAGATTTTATACTACTGAAATTCTTGTGTCTGTATTCTGGTGCATTGTAGAGCAAATATTTTTGAACCAAAGTAACTCAAATGGGCTAACTTACATGCTGAGTCCAAAACCTGAAACCCATGGATTCCATAGGAATGAAATTTGACAAATTTTATAAAATGTTTATGACATAAAAATTATCATAAAACATTTTATTACATAATACAAAACATGAAATATTTCCTTTGATCAACTCCTGTTGTTTCTTTGTGCTATGCAATTCAGTATGGGCTACTTTTAAGGCAGATGCAGCTTGGAAAATCTCCCTGAATTTTAAAGAACTTTTCTGGAACATTAGAAATTCTGCCATTTTTGAAGGTATTGAGAAATCTGGTAAAGAAATATTTCTGGAATAATAACCCAATGGGCGGGCAGAGGTTGTTTACTGAAAGCCAAAAAGAGGAAGAAATATGGAACAAATGAGAAAAAAAATAAACACTGATTTGTGTTTTAAAGGATTATTCTCATTTTAACAGTTCTGTTGGATGAAAGACGTGGTCTTACTATTTATTAATTAGTTTATATTTTGTCACTATTGTGTAATCTGTATGCACACAAATCATGTGAATTTTTTGGTTTAGGAACCAACATTTCTCATCTTAACCTTCACTTTTTTGTAAGCATTCCTACAAATGAACTGTTTACAAAGGAATAGAGCACACATATTTTAAGATACACTTCACTCACATCAAATACCTAAGATCTGGCCCAGTGCTCTATAATTGCTGGTTGTTTACCATAGCTAAAACATGACTAAAAATTCATGGTAAATATGTTTTGTGGAATGTATTCCAAAAAGTAAGACTAGTGCCATATGGGACTTAATTCATACTAACATTTGTTTGCAAAATATTGTTTATAGAACTCTGGAACAACAACAAAAAAGCATTTATAATAGAATCTCAGCATTCAAATTAATCAGAATGCAATGGGAACCTGAACATGAAACCATTATTATCTTGGCAAGTTATTGTTTAAACATATTTCAGTTAAACAGAAAGGGATATTTAGAAAATAAAACACCTTTTAGTTGAAGGTGCATATAAAATATTTCCATTTTTCGCCACTAGTTCTCTTGTCCTCTTTAATGTGTTGTCCCATAAAACTGATCATACAATCAATTTTTTGCATTTGCAAACATTTCTAGTTCTTGTTTTGTTTGTACCATGCTATATTAATGTGTAAAAATCATATCTAATTATTAAATGGTTCAGATCATCCTGAATTAGAATCTCCAACAAAACTATTCAAGGGAGATGTGCTGATATTATAAATTATAGTTCACACTTATAATTCCAGATCTACTGCTGAGTATATCCTGCTAAGTTCAATGGTACTTTCGAATAACCTGTTTATTGTAATGAAATAAGATCATGGGATACTGTGGCTTTCAAGGTGATGTTCGCATAGAATTCCCATCAAGCCAATAGCGAAGCGCAATGTGGAAGCTGCTAAAATGGCAGTCTAGTAATATTTGGAGAACTGGGTATTTCTCTCCTGTCTTAAACCTTTTCAGAAGTAGCATCCTGCTGTTAAGCAAGTAATGCTTAACGTTCTGTACAAAACTGTGCTAAATCAACTGAGTTTGTTTGTCTAAAATATTGTTAGTGCTTTCCTTATTATTGAAGGTATAGTCACCACTGTATTTTAAGTGTAAACCAACCAATGGCAACTGTGTGGAGTAAGGCTGACCTGAACAATGCAATATACAGTACTGTAGTTCTCAATTGCTGCAAGTGCAGAAGAATTCTAGGTAAGAGTAGGGTAAATCACTGAAACTTTTTAAGTCTCCAAATTTACCATAAATAATAAATGTATCAACAGAATGCTTGAACATTACCCTTCTTGCTATTTTTTAAGGGTTGAGAACTGCTTACATGGATTATGATTTTATCACACCACAATATACTCAGATGCAGGATTTTGAAGGATTTACCCAACCTGGCTTTCTGAGCATTGTTAGTCACCCCAGAAAAATGTTTACTCAACAGAACAAACTGCAGTAACTACTGCACTCAAATGCTATCTTTCAATGAAATGACTTGGTTTATAAAGAATTTTCCTAGAATCCAAATATACACCAGTAATAATTCTGCCTCATAGCACATTAAACATATACCCTAAAATACTAGCATAATTTTTGATCAACAGGTTCGGTTGACCAAAGGAAAATATAGCACATTTTTTAAAAACTTTGTATTAAATAACATGGTCTTGCTTCTAATACCTAATAAATTTTAGAAAACCAGCTATTTTGTTTAATGTCCATGTTATTACATACCATATATGAAAAAAAAATTCAGTCAACAAAAAAGAAATGTTCAGAGGGGCACATTTTTATTATGCTATCTGGAAAATTGTTAAAATATATAATTTCCATAATGATAGCAGAGTAATTTCCTCCAAGAATATTACAGAATGATTCTATTAAAATTATCCTGGAAACATGGCTCATTTAATTCATAGAGATTCGTAATTTTAGATCTTTTCCACAAAGCATGCTAAAACAGTTACAAAAGCACTCATAGTAATATATTGAGATAACAACTTACCAATACACCATACAGAATCAGGTATCAGGTAGAGTCAGATCAATGTACCTGGAAAGAAAAGTTAAATATCTCTTGTTTAATAAATTAATTTAATATATCATCAATAAAATATTATCTATATGTATTCAGAAAAAATGTCATTTCATTGAGTGCTCTTAGTATACTAAGATTAGATTCAAGACTAAAGCATAAAGTTGCTGCCTGTTTTCTCAAGCAGAGACTTACTACTTTATGCATTATGAATCCAATGTACGATAGGCTTTTTTGTAAAAGTCTGTGAGTATTACATTTTAGGGCTTCCTTATTTTTCCCTTTTCCTTTCTCGCTATCTAGCAACATAATTTTTTTATCACACATCAGTCCCACCTACTGCTAGAAATTAATCAAAAGTACAATAATGATGACTCATAGGGCAGTCCTAGGTCCCACTACCTTTATATTTATGTAGCCTTTCCTTAATACGAGGAAAGCTCTTTGGACAAACAAAGTACAAACATGAATAGATTATGAATGTCACGTGCTATGTAAGTATTGGGACTATTTTTTGTCATAGAAATGTCTTTCAGAGTAAGTGTTAACATTGCAGCCAGACTTTAAATACAACCAATCAATATTTAAATATTTTAAAATGCATATTTAGGTAATCAGTTCAGGTTTATTAAGTGTGTATCCCAACTTTTGTACAGAAACCCAATGGAGAGTATTTAAGAGCTCACTCTTATTTGTTCCCACAACAGCAACTCTCTGAAGTAGGTTGGGCTACGAATGAGATTGGCCCCAAACCAACCAATGAGCTTTGTGACCAAAGGTAGGCTAGACTCTCCGATTTCTAGTCCAACACCTTAATCACAACACCAAACCAACTCTGTAAATTGAATATTTTTTAAAAAAAATAAGTTCTGTAACAGCATAAATTATTTAAGGGGAAATAGTCAAGGAAGCTAATCAAAGTTATTATTAACCAAATAGAAGTCTGAAGTTATACAACACTATGTGATATCTTTCAAAATCTAGAATGAATTTAATAAACCTGTATCATTGTTGCTAAAATTCTAAATTTAGCAAGATTGTTAAATTCCAAGAATAATCTTGGAACTGCTATATGTATTGGACCAAAGTAGCAGAATTTTTAAATTGCTATGGTAACTAATAATTCTGGAAAATGTAGACTATTTGCAAATATATCAGCTTCTACAAGATGAAATATTCTATCTACAATTTTGAAATTTAATATGGAAGACAGGAAGCTGATGCATGTTGGGAAGATGATAAACTTTTGAATTTCCCAGCTACTTCTGATCGCCTAATTTCCTTTGTGTGATTTCATTCAATAATTGGGGAGGGGGAGATTCACATAATGCTAGAGAATACTCAGACAATGTTCAGGCAATACTCTAATGAGGTACCTCTACTTCACAGAGTGTTTCCAATTTGCAAACAATTCTAATGTGCATAAATTAGTGTGGGGATGATGGTGTTGTCTTTACATTCCATTTTAACTTTAGAGATTGAAATATTTTATTAGTTTGACCTCATCATGTAGCAGACTATATAATACATTTCAGAAGAAACACACTACAGGTACATTATTTTTCAAAAATACACTGAGTCCAGATTTTCATACCCTGTTCTTTTTTAGCAGACACATTCATAACCTTCCCAATAAACAGAATGTGTTATGCTATCAAGTAGTGGATGCTATAAACATCAACATTTCAAACACTGATACTTATCCTCAATTAGAGCACAGAAAACGCACTTAAGTGTTAGATGTTTTTAATGCTACAATACTTGCCAAGGGAATTAACCCAGAATGCTATGATTCGCAATTCTAAAGAGATTTAGGTGAGATCTAAGATTTTCCAATTTTCTTGAATCTAGAATACAGTCTGAACGACTAAATTAATGCAGTAACATTGCTTTGATTCTTGACACTGAAATATTCTGTTGCACCTTTTACAACTTTCATTACATTTGTATTGTATAGAAATTATACCTAATTTGCAAAAAAAAAAAATACAAGTTGTTTTACGATTGAATTTTGTCAAAAATAAAGAAAATATACCAAAGTCATCATCAATTAAAATGATGGAACAATGTTACAACATATCTGGTGCAATAGCAGGAAAATTTAAATGTTCCTTCATTCTAGCCTGAATGGTGATGTGTAATGGGCATTTTCTAGAACTCTGAAAAGAAGAAAAGACGGTAAAATATATGAATTACCTATTCTCAAAATTTATTCTAGGTCTATAAGGTTTGTCCTAAAAATAATATAAGGGATTTTGCTAGTTTTGTGTTCACTGTTAAATCCATGTAAACGGAAATGCAATTTACTATCTTTGGTAGTAATTATTTACTAGTAAAATAAAGGACTGCATTATTTCATCAGCATTTTATATTTAATAATTTATTATATTTCTATTTCACTATACATTTCCAGGTAGCTCATATGGAAAATATAATAAATAGTCAGTTTCAACATTTGACGATAACATCTTAAATTGATATATGGTCACTCAGTTTAAACAACTTAAATGGACTGGATTTAAGTAAAAACAGGGGAAAAAATTTGAACAATTTCTGAGCAAAACATGTATCTTGTTTTAAGAACTTCTATTTTTTAATTTTTCAAATGTTAACCAGAGCCAAAACTCCATGAATGAATTCTGTCATCTCTTTTCTGTATTCATACTGAATAATATCTTGTATTAGCAGTCAATTACTGTTCAAACCTGGATTATGGAAAGGAAAATGTATCTAGGTGTATTATAAGATACATTTTGCATTAAGCAAATGATTGTGTGAACAAAATTTACTTCATCAGGATTATCTTTAGGTTTTAATGTAAAATTTAATAATTAAATTGATGCAACACATAAGTGGGATTGTAGAAACCAGCAACTGGATAATTGGAAGTATCAGTGTTTTGGAGCATAGATGAAGTTTAGTTAAAATTTCAACATGTCTATGAAAATTAAAGATAACTTTAAATTTAATATGAGCTACTCAATGAACATGTTTTATGATAGCAAAGTAATCATTTTCAAATATTGTTCATTTCATCTCTAATGCTAGAAATATTAAGATTTATAATACTTAATAATTATAATGAGTTTTTTATAATATTGAAAATACTTTATTTTTAAGGTTTAGAAGGGTTTTCCAAATTCCAAGCAAAGATTCTGTTAAAGACATAAAGGCTAGAAAGAAACCAAGATGTAAAAGATCTGCATTATTCAAATAAGAATAAATTTAAAAATACCTGAAATGGCTAACATGTTCTCCTTTGGCTCCATCTGGATCCTTCAAGTTATTAGAAGTCAGACAAATCTTTAAAAAAAGAAAATATATATAAAATATATATTTATGTATAATTTATGTATATATTTGTGTCAAAAATGGCATTCAACATAGGCATCAAAAACTTAAAGCGGAAAAACTACAGAAAAGTCCTCAAACACATAGATGTGTGTATCTTTGTATGTACATACATATACATACGTATTTATAATGCACATTTTGGATTTAAGTTGATCATCCTTTTGGTGCAAGGATTACAACTACTTTTCTCATTTAATATGAAACTTGATCATAATATATTTTAAAACAAATGTAACGTACTTATATGTAAGTTGTCTAGGCAAGTTTCAACTGGAAGCTTACATTCTCCAATACAGATATATAGGAGATATGTACCAGTAAAATCAATAGGACCTCATCAAAAATTCACCAATTTTTTTCAACTTTAATCAAATTAATCATAATGAAGTTTCATTCTTTTTTCTTTTTAGGATAAATGTATATATAAGGGACACATTTCTTCAAAGAGAAATGAGAAACAAAATGAGTTAATTCTTACCTACAAAAAATTCTGGGCAGCACTTATAACCCATCTGTTATTGAGGTGGCAAATATTCATAGAATACCTAAAGAAAAATATATTTAGATTAATCAAAATGTCTTCTCTTAATATTTGCAGATATCTATTAAATAAAATACTTAAAATTATGTCAGTGTTATCTAAATACTTAAAATTATGTCAGTGCTATCTATAAAGTTAAGCACTATTTTTAAAGTTTCTCAGTCTATGAAAAAGTATTTCTGTACAAGTTTTCTACGTAATGCAATTTTTTTAATCATCTCTTAAGGTAAAGACACAACAGAAGTGCCATAACAAAGTCTATCCCAAAACCAATAGTTATGCAACTGCAACTATGAGAAAAGTCAAACATGTTTAGATTTCTCTTTTCTCAAGGTTATACATATTTAAAACATTTTTACTGTTTGAAGTGATGGAATTACATTATCTTAACTCAGGTTTCACCTGACATAATTTTATAAAGCCATTTTGAAAGTGAAGTTTTTTATAATCCACAAAAGTAACCAAATTTTACCCTCACTTTAATCTCATTTTTTTGTAAAAATAAAAAAATCTTGGCCATTTTTAACTGTTGGCATTGTTACAATTTTTCAATCATACAAAAAGACTTTCAAATCCATAATCATAACTTTCAAGTTACAGTGAAACCTCAGAGCTACTTATTTTATATAGAATGTTTAAATACGTGTTTCACAACAGCTATTGGTTAATTAATCAGTTAAAGCCACATCTCCAAAGAATTGTAAAATATTTGCTAATGTTATAAAAAATATACCAAATAGTCGCTCCATGCCAGAACTTTATCTGGTAAACTTTTAACGTTACAAAGCCTAAGAAATATTATGTATTGATCCAGAATGAAAATAAGCCCATTAAGACAAATTAATCAGCGTAACCATTTTAAAAATGGACAGCCTATCATCCAAATGTTCATTTAACAGCTAAGTTCCAAACATTCAGAGATAAAACCAATGAAAAACTAACAAAGCATTTTAAGCTTTTAGTTTTGCTTAATGAAGGTTTAAAGATTAAATTTGCATGAGAAAAATGCCAGAAAATTCAAACTTCAAATACAATACATCACAAAGACGCATTCTCCAACTTTTAAAACTGTTTTCATATATACTTCATTACCAATTGCTAGTTCTTTTTAGCTCAACTCTAGTTCCCACTCAATTAGATAACTGCCATACTTCTAAAAGATGCAAGTATTTAAAGAACCTCATAGGTTTCATCCTAAATTTTCATTAGAATCTTTCATTTCGGATAAATAATTTTTTTTTAAATTTTGTTATCATCGACCAAAACAAATACCTCAAAAAATATCTCGTTTGCAAATCGTTTCCACATACCTAGTTGAGAAAGAGTTAAATGCCAACACCCAAATACAGAAAAACAAATTTGTTTGGAGAGAAAGAGGCAGCCATGGCGTCTTTTGTTCTTTACAAGAAGAAGAAAATAAACAGGGGTCTTTTCCTCTTTCAATCACAATGGAGGACTGCGACTCTTTAAAGAACTGGAGACTTTTTGTCGCAGACATCCTGTATATGGAATCACAGTATACCTTTCATTTCCAGGCTCCAAATATTTTAAGAGGGTGTTGTCCCAATTTGCTGCAGACCCCCTCCCCCGTATCTCCATAGCAAAAACTATCCTCAGATACCTGCCCTTCAAGTTATTCTGAGAAAAGGAAAAAATACAGAAATCCAGCAACCCAGAACCTTTCAAATCTGTATGGGGAAGAATTGTATGGACCCCCTGATATTTGGGGAAGGGGGTGTGCATATAATCCCTAGATTTCTTCTGGGTAAGGGAGGGGGGTGAAGAAAGGAGGAAAACTGCAGTTCAATGGCGGCTCTGGTTTGACATCAACCTCCTTGATATGTCAGGCTTTGCGCCTAACCAGGAATCTTACCCCATTTCAAAACGGGGGGGGGACTGGGGCTCCCTTAAAACAAAAAGGAACAAGAGGGCGTTTTAACAGCCTCTTTAACCACGATACCAAAAAGGGGGGGTAAGAAGGGAAAAGCCCCCCCCCAACCTTGAAACCCACATTACGTTTTTCATTCCCTGTAAAATTTGTTTTAGGAGCATCCACACCCACCAAGGTGGACTTTTCATATTCAGAGGAAAAAGCCCCATAAAGAGCAACAAGGAATCCCTCATCGCCGGGATCGATCTCTCTTTCTTCTAAGAAACCCTTCTCCCCACCACCACCACTATTACCATCATACACAGACACTAAATTTGGGGGGGGCGCCCCAAGACTGGAGGGGAAAAGAGGGTCTCTCCGTCTTTCTACTAGAAAAAAACCCAATCCAAGGAAGAAGTGGCGGCTTTTCCGCTTCCCTCGACGCCCACCTTGGAAGCGCCCTTATTCCTAACGGCGGGGAAGCCTCGGCTAACCGAGTTTAGTTTGGGGGACCCCCCCCCCGTCTCTCGCTTTCGAGGCGCTCGGGTCTTTTTTTCTTCCTCCCCGCACAGCGGGACTGGAGAAGGAGGACAGGGAAGCCGGGTTCTTGCCGACTTTGTTTCCTCTCCCCCCCCCCGCCCGCCATCTCTCAGGCGGCTCCAAGGACATCTTGTTTTCCTTCTCAAGGACAAAGAGACAATGGCGGAGAGTGGAGGGCGGCGGCCGAGACGGAGGAGAAGGACATGGCAGGGCGGCAGCTGAGGCAATACTCACCGTCCTGAGGGGCGAGAGAAGCCAGGCGAGTCGAGCCGAGGACATCCCGGAGGGCGGGCGGCGGCAGACACCGAGGGCTCGCCTTGCCGCAGAGGCTCGTTCTCGGGTCCGCCTCAACCGGGACAGGCTATACTTTCCACCACCCCACAAGCTCGAACCCCCCGGATCGGCGGAGACCCCCCGACCCTGAGGCCGCTTTCGGCCCGGGAAGGTTGGAGGGAGAGAACGGAGGTGGGGGTAAAAAAAGCCGCAGCCGCTCGCGAAGCAGCCGTCCGCCCGGCCATCTTGCGCCGTGTGCGAGCGAGTGTGTGAGGGAAGCCTCTCTGCCTGTCTTTGCCGTCTCTCCGCGAAGCTTCCCTCCCCTCCCCCACCCCGCGCCCCTGCCCAGACTCCCAAAATGGCCGCCCTCGCTCCCTCAGCCACTACTGCGGCAGGGAGGGAGAGGAGGGGGGCGGGGCCGGCGCGCGCCTCTCGGCTTCCCCTTCCACCGCGCCTGCGCCCTAGCCGCCTCCCCATTGGCTCGACTGCCTCCAGCAACCCATTGGCCGCCTTGCCTGGCTCGAGCTCGCGCTACGCCTGTCCCCAGGCTACGGCTCGCTATTGGCTCGCCTCACTCTCTCTCTTTTTTTTCCTCTCTCTCTCTCGCTGTGTTTTCCCCCCCTCCCTCCTCCTCCCTCCGCCCATGCGTTTCGTCGTTTTGTGCACCAGCGGCGTTTCCACTCCCCCCATCCCTCTTTTTTTTTTAACCAACTGCATTGAGCTGGCTGCCACGAACGCGTAACGGGCTCCCATTGGTCCGCCGGCAGCTGTTCTCGCGCTCTCTTCCCCGCAGCTGTTGCCCCGCCCCTCGGATGACGACATGCCTCTTCAAGGTGGAGCCCTCCCCCCTCAGAATAGTGGGGGAGGGGGGATAATCTGGCGTCTCTGATTGGTGGAGGGGCTTAAAGGGGGACCAGCGTCCCCTCCCACGAGGATTCCGCTTAGGTGCATCCTACAAAGTCGTTTGTGGATGCTCCACTATTTACGCATCCATATATTTGATCGATTGTGGGTCATCAAGTCTCTGTTGACTTGAGATCGATCTTCTCCAGCAACACCCATCCCCAACCTGGTCCTCCTTCTGGTCTTCCAGTGTTGTCTCCATCACTTGAGTCCATCCATCTTGTTTCTCTTCTGCTCTTCCGATTTTCCAAGCATCATGGACTTCTCAAGGGCTTTGCATTGGTTGGTTGAATGGTTGTGTACCATCAAGTCATTCCTGATTCTGAGCAACTGGAGAAACCGAGCTCTAGGAAGATCTGTGCCCAACCTGGTCCTCCTTCAGATCTTCCAATGATGTCTCCATCACTTCAGTCCATCCATCTTATTTCTCTGGTCTTCCTCTTCTACTCTTCCAAGTTTCTAAGCATTATGGACTTCTCAAGGTCATTGCATTGGCTGACTGAATTTTACCATCAAGTCATTCCTGACTCTGAGCAACTGCAGAGAAACAGCTCCAGGAAGATCTGTGCCCAACCTGGTCCTTCACATCTTCCAATCATGTGTCCATAGCCACTGTAATTGAGTTCATAGACCTCAATGCTGGTCATTCCCATTTTCCCTTCCCATTGATTACTGTATAGGCCACCAAGTTGGTGTTGACTCTTATAAACTAGAAATTGACTTCTCCAGGAGATCCATTCCCAACCTGCTCCTTCATAACTTCCAGCAATGCAACCATCACCACGATAATTGAGTCTGCTCATCTTGATGGTGGTCATCCTCACTCTATATTTTCAGCATTATAGAATTCTTAAGAAAATTGGATCTTTGCATAGAAGTATCCAAAACATAATGGCTTGTGACTTAAGTAAGAACTCTTGATTCATTTGATGAGCCATTGATTTGTTTCTTTGAGTATCCATGACATTCTTGGGAATCTTTACCAATTCAAGATTCAAAAGTATCCTTTCTATCCTGTTTCAAATTCCAATATTTGCTACCAGCTGCAGCTTAATTATTGAAAGACTACAATTTCAAACCAAGTTTGAAGACCAATATTTTTTTTAAAAAACACCTTAGAACAGGGGTGTCAAACTCCCAACCCAGGCCCAGATGCTTCATGTTGTCCTGGCCATGCCCAGCCTGGTTTAGCGAAGGGGGGAGTGGAGTTGCGATACATCATGTGACGACAACATGATGACACACGTTTGACACCCCTGCCTTAGAAGGTTGTCTAAAAATTATGAGGGGACAGAGAGAGCAAAGGGAATTTATCCCTAAATGGATAAACATTTGGTCTGAATGCATCAATGGAGAAGGCTATACATCACAGCAAAATAGACCTCTGTTAATTATGAAGATGGGTATTGCAAATTATTTTCTCTACCATCTTTTGATGTTAGGAGTTTTTTTTTTAGAAGGCCCCATTTTTCTTTCTAGTAAGAATGCAAGCTGTATTTCTACTCTGCAGGAACACAAGGAATTCTTGTATGGAATCAACTAACCCATTTGAAGAGTGGGAAGCAAGAAAAAGAACACAATGCTAACAATATTACAGATCACAGAAGACTGAATACATTCATTTCAGTGCAAGGTCAACTTCCAAGCTGAGATTTCCTATTAAAGGAAGCTGTTAAAGCCCACACCCAATGGTCACAGAGGTCTTGAAAAAGCCACTGTGACTCAGCTACAGTTGAGTCATATCTCTCTCCCATAAACATTTGCAAAAGACAAGTTAATAATTTGTGAAGATATCAATATCCCAGTAAATATTTTCCATGCCATTCTGCAAAACGAAGGCTACATTCACATGATAGAGTAAATCCCAAAAGTAGTGTACTATGTTCTTTTACAGTCCTTTTACAAAATTACAGTGTTATACAGGGTACTGTACAGGAACCAGCTATTGTTTTCCTGGTTGCAATGTGTCAGGGTTCCAAATAGCATCCAAAAGTAAACCAGAGTCCAAGGCAAAGTATTGCTCGAAGTTTCAATTTATTAAGAGAGCCCTGTTGGCACATCTGGAAAAACCCGAATCTGAAAGCCTCCCCGTTTTCCCCGCCCTAGTTGAAAGTTCAAGATCTTGCCCCCACACCCACAAGTCCATCACATGATCCAATCTCGCACTGCCATGCTGGCAGTTCCACCCATCCAATTCCAGTCCAGGTCCAGAGGCGCAAAGACAAAGGATGACCTTGGCTTTCTAGAATTTTTTTTTTTTTGTTATGGCTACATCACATCTCACTCCTACAATCACCCCTCCCATTTTCCCACAATAGAAAACGCATAGTAGAATAATAGAAATTGTGGCAGGCCAAAGATCCAAAAGAAAAGATGGCTGCAGGCCTGACACAATGTATGGCTGTAAAAGTGAACCATAAGGAAGGCTGAGTGCCAAAGAATTAAGGCCTTTGAACTCTGGTGCTGGAGAAAACTCCTGTGAGTCCCTTGGACTGCAAAGCGATCCAACCGGTCAGTCCTAGAGGAGATCAACCCTGACTGCTCTTTAGAAGCCCAGATCCTGAAGATGAAACTCAAATACTTTGGCCACCTAATGAGAAGGAAGGACTCCCTGGAGAAGAGCCTCATGCTGGGAATGACTGAGGGCAAAAGAAGAAGACAGAGAAAGAGGTGGCTGGATGGAGTCACCAAAGCAATAGGCATGAGCTTAAATGGACTCCGGGGGATAGTAGAGGACAGGAAGGCCTGGAGGAACGTCGTCCATGGGGTTGCAATGGATCGGACACGACTTTGCAACTAACTAATAACAACAAATTGATTGAATTGAAAGGCGATAGATCGCCAATAAAGGCTGCATGGAGCAATTAATCAACCCCCAGAATATCCTTCTGCAAAATCTCCCCTTGAGCAGGGACATTTCCTACTTGATGTACCGTTTCCTCAACTCACAGCCTGCTAATGTCTCTTATGATGTATCACCTTTGTACTGGCCCACAGCCTACTTCCACAAGATAGGATA